GATAACTGATTAACGATAACTGATAAATGATAACTGATAAATGATAACTGATAACTGATAACTGTCCTTTCTGAATTTATGACTGTTTTTGTGTCACTTCATCCTAGAACCAAAACATTTATAACATAATAACAGTTGAGCAGATTCTGGTAATCTTTTCTTAGGATCCATTAAAGATCAAATGCAACTGGAAATTCTTCTCAACTTACAGTATGAATTTAAACAAACACTATATGAACTTAACATTGTAAAATTTGTTTAGGAAATTTAATGTTCAAGGACACCACTTAAGAAAAAAATGTTTAATAGTAAAAGTAAGAAGTGAAAAATGTAGAAAAATAAAAACTACTGCGTCCAACTAATGACTGTGTATCTGTGTGTCCCTCGTCTCACGGGCTTCATCCAGAAGAAGACACAAGTGTTGTTCCTGCTGTGTCCGCTTCAGTTCTTCATGTTCATTCAGTGATGAAATAAGACTTTTCTTTACTGGACTCTTTTCTCTTTCTCTTCACTAGAAAGAAGAAACAGGTGGTTAATTCAAGCTACATACTGTTTTTGAATAAATGCATGAAACAAAGAAAGGTGCTGCTAACAGCTATAATAGATATATTAATAATAATAAACTGATCAAATAAGAAAATGAAAAATAAACAGATTAAAAAATAATGAAAATAATAATAATGGATATATGAATCAGAAAGTATTATACAGATGCAGATATTCTTTATTGTCATTCGCACCTCATGTGGTACATGTGGTGGATCAAAATTATGTTCACAGGGTCCCAGTTACATCCAACAATAAAATATAAAAGAAAAACAGTAATAAGATCTAAGATATGAACTAAGAAAAACATCAACTAAAAATATGATAAGCTCTAATAGCATAAAAACATTAAACACAATACGCAGAACAGCAGCACGGACATGAGTCTGTGTGAACAGATGAGCACGAATGAACACAGCAACATGAAACAGATCAGCAGCAACATGAAACTGATCAGCAGCAACATGAAACTGATCAGCAGCAACATGAAAATGATGTTTTCAGTTGATATTTGTCTTAATTCGTATCTTAGATCTTATTACTGTTTTTATTTTACATTTTGTTGTCTGTAACTGGGACCCTGTGAACATAATTTCATCCCAATTCAGTATTTATTCAACATTTTAGTTTTTTACTTTAAAAATAAAATAAAATAAATCAAGTCCTTATCGGCACAAATAAAGTGATGTGGAACATGTTGCATCTGTTCTTACTGAGCACAGAAGCTGCAGCGTTGTGCTGCTCTGTGAGGTGCAGCTGGGCTGTGATGGAGCTCTGTCAGGTGCAGACTCCTCTGATGGAGCAGGAGCCGGAGCCGGGAGGCTTGGAGGGTTTAATGTGGAGTTTAGAGATGAACCGTCACGCGCTGAAATACGTTCTGGATAAAATACAGTGAGAAATGGGACCGGAGGACAGTTAGCATTTATGCAAATTAGCTTAGCATCGTAGCACCGACGTTGTACTATTATGGCGTCAGCCTCTTTTGTTAGTTAAAAATATGTTCAGAACCGATGGGATGAGTAATTTAAAATATGTTTAAAGTTAGAAAACACTCACCATCTTCTATAAATGATTCAAGTAGAGCAGTAGTCGTGTCCAAACCACCCTCCAATCCTCCATCTAGCTCGCTTTGACTTTTTTTGTCGGCCACCAAGCACAACAACACCTGCACTTCTGCATTTGACCACGGCTTTGATATTATTGTTGTTGTATAGCTTCAAAATACTAAAAGATACACTCCTCCAGTTATCACCAATGGCAGGCGGTAGAGAAAAAATGGCAGATCGGGTTGTTTGGAAAGACTCCACAGACTCCTCCCCCCAACCAATCAGTGACCGACAGTGTTTCTGACGTCACGGCTCGGCTCGCTTGGACCCCTTGAGAAGCCGGGCCAGAATTTAGGAAGGCGAGCCGGTTCCAGGAACAGTGGAAAGACCTCAAACACGCGTGAAGCCGGAAATACCCGACCCGCGCCGTGACAGTGGAAAAGGGGCATAAATTGTTCCCAGTGACATACTCATGTATGTCTACAAATCACTGAACAGTGTCACCCCCCCCCCCCCCCCCCTTATCTCTCTGATCCACTACAACCGTATGTCCCACCACGCTCCCTGAGGTCAGCGGACCAGTTGCTCCTCACAGTTCCAGGAACTCGTCTTAAGCTCAGAGGTGACAGGACCTTCTCTGTAGCAGGACCAAGACTCTGGAACGAGTTACCTCTGCTTGTCAGACAGGCCCCCTCCCTCTCGGTTTTCAAGTCCCGTTTAAAAACTCACTACTATTCAGTAGCTTTCAACACCAGATGATCTGTGTTTTGATCCTGTATGCTCCACACTGGTTAGTCGTCATTATCTGCATCATTTTTATGTCTATATTCTGATTTACCTCATTTTGAATTTTGCTTTGTGTGTTACCTGTTGTTCTGTCTGTACAGCACTTTGGTTGGCCTTGTTGCTGTTTTAAGTGCTCTATAAATAAAGTGGTATGGTACTGCTGTCATCACTCTTTGTTAAAACCACATCTCTCTTGTACATGAGTCCCCGAGGCAAAATGGGATTAACCTGCATTTAAAGGTTGAATGAAAAAACCAATATAAATAACAGTTGAATGAACTCCTAATGGTTATCAGAAAAATGCACCAGGTTATAGCCATTTGTGTGTTCTTTAAAGTCAGATAGTATGGTGGGCACTTTGTCCAACTTTGCCTTTGATCAACAAGCAACAAAGACAATAAAATGTTTTTAAGTTGTATGTGCTCTAGAAACCAGACTTACCTCATAGTAGCTCTGAACAGCATTGATAAAAGCCTCATCAGCCACAATCTGAGTTTCTCCATTGAGGAACGCCTGAAAGCGATCTTTGACTGTTTGTAGCTGGAGCTTACTGATCTGAAAGAGACACACAGGAGACAAAAACAAACTCATTTGTACTTATGTAATACCTAAAATAAAATTAGGAATCCACCAATATGGGACAAAAATTAGTATTTTCTTTCTTTTGAGGAGCTTTCTCAAATGAGAAGTGAAACATCTGTTACAAATAAGTCCAGTTGTTTTTGTCTTGAACTTTTATGAATTTACTTGTACTATTTATTTGTACAAGTTAGTCTTATTGAGTCACGAGGACTCATTTACAAGAGACCTGATTTAAACAAAAACTATAAATTAAGTACACACAACAATAAACATTCACATAAAGCATATAAAATAAAAATGATATAAAAGAAGTGATATAAAACGAGATTAAAGAAAACGTGTTACATTATAAAACGGTATAAGATACTAACAACAGGAACATGACTGCATTGATTTTTGCATTGAACTTAACAGTAATTTAAAATCCCTTAGGGAGGTCAAGGTCAAGAGCGTCAGATCTTTTTTCAGGGTGTTCCAGGTTACAGGAGCAGAATAGGAGAAGGCCCTGATTTGCCAAATTTGGTCCACATTGATGGGACACTGCAGGTAATGATGTCTTGGGAGTACACGCTGTAGCGGCACTGACAATGTGACATGTAGGAGGAGATGTATGAAGGCAGCAGACCAAGAAGTGATTTAAAGATGAAAATGCACCAGTGAGAGAGTCTGCGTGAAGTTCATGGTGACCATTTAACCAGTGAATACTGGGTGCAATGATGAGTATGTTAGTAACAGCCAGTTATGAATCTTCACACATCATGATAGACAGCATCCAACATCTGCAGCATCCAACATCTGCAAGGTGCTTGCTGGAGCGTTCATGTAAATAATGTCACCATAGTCGATGGACGGAAGGAAAGTAGCAGTTACAAGGTGTTTCCTAGCATTCAGAGTTAGACAGGATCTATTTCTGAAAACAAAACCCAATGTTACTTTCAATATTTGACATGAGGCTTAAAAGAGTGATGTGCATCAATCAAAATTCCCAAGTACTTTTAAGAATCAACAGACTCAACACCATTCATAGATAAGATAAAAGGAAGAACTGCTGGTACCAACTTCCCGTTTGAAAAAAACATCCCTTTGGTTTTATCAGCATTTAGAACAAGTTTGAGACGGAACAAAACTGACTGAATGATGTCGAATGCAGACTGTAAAAGCTGGAAAACCTTAGCACATGTTTTAGCATGACTATAAACAACTGTGTTGTTGGCATAGAAATGTAGCGATGCATCAGGAACAGTCTGACCTACATATTTATGTAGATTGTGAAGAGGGTGGGACCTAAGACTGAGCCTTGTGGTACACCATTATTGACAGTTAAATAGCTGGAAGAAGTACCATTATGTTGAACACATTGCCTTCGACCGAAAGCTAATTAGAAAACCTATTGATATTATGGTCTAAGAAACCAATGTCTGAAAGCTTATGGCATAAGAGGTCATGGTATACAGCAGGGGTGTCAAACTCCTTTCCACCGAGGGCTACATCCATATAATGGTTGCCTTCAAAGGGTCAGATGTAACTGTAAGACAGTACAAATATAGCTAAATTTAACCATGGGACTTTATGTAGACTTTTAAAATATCTATAACTGCTTAATATCCTGATGCATGCTCAATAATCCAGGTAGAAAAATCCAAAAAAGTTCAATCTGGTCCTCTGGACATTCAAAAAAACAAAAAACAAAACAAAGCAAAAAAAAATGTAGAAACGTTTCGTCTCTCATCCAAAAGACTTCCTCAGTCTGAGGTGCTGTATTCAGCTCAGTCTCTTAAATAGCACCTACTCAGAGTGGATCAACCAGTTTGCTGCTGACAACCAGAACCAGCTGCTCACATGGTCAAGAAGGACCATCAGCCTAACAATGGGTCATTAACACACTGATGGCTGTTTACTGTTCACAGTGGGTTGAGTGATACTAGCAATCACAGCATTGTAAGAGGGGGACAGTTGAACCCGGAGGCCTCCACCCCTGTTTAATGATGGACGGTTTCTTTTCACAAAGATGGCCTCCTTTACTCCTCTCTCAAACCATCGTTCCTCTCTGTCCAGGATGTGAACATCTTCATCCCTGAAAGAGTGACCGCTGGCCTGGAGATGAGTGTAGACCGCAGAGTCCTGGCCTGATGATGTTGATCTTCTGTGCTGGTCCATCCTTTTGGCCAGTGGCTGTTTAGTTTCCCCGATGTAA